AAGATAATTAAAAAATAATAATAATAATCATTCCACTATTATTAATGCATTCACATCATTAGTTACAATGTTCAAGTCTGAATAAAAATATTTTATTATTCACCCACAGAATCATGGAAAGAAGACATTTATTTTATAATAGTGTGCATTTAATTAAAAACCTTAGAAATAATTTATTAAATGGTAAAAAAAATATTTTTCAGACTTTAAATACCATAATGCATATATCAATATTGATTGCCCATCAGGATATATTAGTTGGGATGATTTATTTAAGATTTACCATAATCATAATGATCTGAAAGGTAAACTTAGAAAAGCTCCAAAGGTTACATATGAGGCATTACATCCTGGAAATAATAAACAAAGTGTGCCACTTGCGTTAGCAATTATACATGAAACTACAATTGCAGCTTCAAAAATCTATTATCCAAATCGAAAAGATGTTTCAAATTTTTTAATTATTTTTAACACTTGGTGGACAATTGCTAATTCTAAACAAAGGTTTTTACCAAATATTATTGGCAATACTATTTTATTTGGAGACAATAAAATGATATTTTACCAAGATCTGGCTGATTGGATCAATCAGTGGTCTCTTTCACCTGCATTCACCCTCACAACTCAAACTGCATCAGCATTGGTAAATACCTTACATGCTCAAGCACTGCTTGTTGAGGAGCTCTTGAATGATGGATTTTATTACTTGATGACAGCTCGTTTACAAAGTGATCCAATTGAAAGACGTTTCTCACAATACAGGCAAATGAGTGGGGGAAGATATCTTGTAAGTTTAAGAGAAGTTTTAAATTCAGAAAGAACTTTGTCATGTTGTTCTTTAATTAAAGAGCATATAAAACTTCTTGGAAGAAAATCTATTACCAGATAAAATTATGGAAAGTTCCCTTGATTATAATAGTCAAGAAGTGGCAATAACTATAGCAAGCTATGTTGCAAAAAAACTGTCAAAAAGATCTAAATGTGAAAACTGCAAAGCATGTTTGAAAGCTGGAGACATTTATCTTGAAAATAATTCTTATCTACCTCTCTTGTCACGTGGTGGACTATTTGTTCCATCCAAACAGCTTGCAGAATTTGTTTATAGTGTATTTGCTATTTTGGATTTAATTGAGAATGAAATTTCATCTCTATCAATTCCAGTAAATAAATCATCAACATATCTGTTACATAAATACACACCAAAAAGCAAATTTGTTTGTTAAAATCATGAAAGTTGGGGAATCACATTTTCAACAAAAATTCTTGTTAATGTATTTTTTAATAACAAACAAAAACTATCAAAGCATTTGGTTTCCAATAATAACTTAAAAACATTTAAAAAGTGGCAAAAAAAAAAATGAAATCAAAATTGCTAATATGTCAGTTGCATAGCATTTGGTTTATATAGTTTAATAAAATTTACCTATAGTTTGATTTCTTTGAACTACTTCTTGACATTTTTTTAGTGTTAAACATGAATACAGATATATATTATAAATAAATATAATATATATATCTGTATTCATATAATAATGTTTATACATGAATACAGATATATATTATAAATAAATATAATATACATAGATATAAATGCATATTGATTTGAATAATTTCTGTGACAATTCTCCAACAAATATTAAACAAATGTCTTTAAATCTTTGATATGTATTTTATTTTAAAAAGTATATAAAATAAAAAAAATACTGCCACTTTTACATTGAAGAAGTTTAAGTTAAAATTTAAGAATAGAGTTGCTTTTTAAAAATATAATATTCTCTGCATCCATTTTTTCAGTAAAAATCAGACTTCAGCCTAAATTTCCCCTCAAAAATGTAAGATATACGACCATGAATATAGTGGATGCACATACTCCACATGTTTGGTTCTTTCGCCGCTATCAAGATTAAAGAAAGTAAAAAAAACAAAAAATTTTCAAACTTTCATTTTGCATTAATTTGTTTGTGTCAGCCACAAATATCAACAGATAGTCTTAGAATATTGGAAACACATTTTTCTGTTTCTCAGGATGAGATCTATACATTTTTACAATTGATCAACTTGTTTCTCTGCGCAGCAACCTTGTTTGTCAAGGTTCGTGTTTCAGAGTTATAGAGTTGAGAGAGGGTTGCAACCATAATTTAAGTAGCCTCCCCAACTGTAGTGGCCTTCAAGGACTTGGGCAGGTGAATTAAAATAAAATATATATATATATTTATGTATACTATTATGATTTTCTTACAGAACAACTATAACAAAAAGATTGCTTTCAAATTTTAGACTATCTGAATGTTTAAATATGTATTTTATCATTTTTTTTTTATATATGTTAATATTGTAATAGTTTGGAAAATATACCATAATTTTTTAAATGGTTTTTAATTTTTAAAATTTACTCTAGCTAGAAATATTTGATGACTGTTATTTCTTATCAAAAATATGTTAAATATGAGTTGTAAAGATAAAATATTTCACTTGAAATACTCTCAAGCAATTTATTTTCATAAAGATAACTACATGAAATCAACAAACTTGCAACTTTTGCGGATGACTTCCATATGTGACGGTACAAAAACTGCAATTAAAAGATTGCTGTGACTCTATGATACATAATGCAATCCTAAAACTTTCTGAAAATCTATACTATTATCTAAAATTATTATTTTTTTTTAAATATATACTGAAAAAAATTTATATTTTCTGAGGAATTAAAGTTTATTTATCTAGTAACTAAAATTTGTTTTTTTCTGTTTTGTGCGTGGTTCCGCTTCAAACAAGTTATTCCTTGATAACATCACTAATGTATACCATTCTTTGTTTACAAAATATTTTTATAGATTACAATTAAATGAGATAAAATTGGAGAATGCTAGTATTATTATAATAAAAATAATAGACAAAACATATACAAGTTTATGTGCATGATTTTTTGAAAATGCCTAAAAGTACATATATCTGTGAATTTATTATGTGTAGAAATAATATTGATATTATTATCCAAATCAGACTTATGACTGATTTCTTCATTCATGGGTTATGTAAGTATTTTTTGGTGATTATAAATTATAAGTGAGAGGTTAATATCAAATATACTTCAAATAAGTAATAAAATTCGTAGCTAACCTACCCGAACCTCATGTGTTTAGATAGAGACCCAAGTAAGACCTTGTTCAAGTTTTGATAAGTTATTTGTTATTTTGACAACTAATTTATAAGTTTAGGGAGTCAAGCGGCCAAACAGAGTCAAACAGTGTTTACAATCAAAAAAGCTGTTCAAAACCTTAGAGAATGGTTGAAGAAACTGACAATTTGTAAATTTGCAAAAACGCTATAGACATGGGGATAAGCATACTTGCTTATCCCCATGTCTATAGCAATTTTTGCAAAATGGTAGGCTTTTAACCATTCAGACTAAGTACAGTACAAGAGCTAAATGAAGATGATTTCAACAAAAAATGGAGTTTTGTATTACTATATCAAAATTTGAAGGAAATTTCATAGCTAAATCATAAATTAAAACTTAATAATATTTCTGACAATTAGTGAAAATAAATTTATATTAAATACTTATAGGAAAATAATATACGAAGTTCTAATTTATTAATTGTATAAAACATGAAATAAAACCCCGCTATTAGAAAAACTATGCTATTGTACAACTCTTTGAATATATATTTCTTTTTCACTAGGTGGCACTAGCGAAAAAGAAATATATATTTAAAAGAATACTCTTAAAATGAAAACGACAATGATACATTAAGATTAAAAATAAATCAAAAATACAATTCATAATAATAATTACTAACATACACTGATTAAAAAAATTTAAAAATATATAATTACTAATATATCTTTGAAAATTGCTGTGTAATTAATTTGCTGTGTAAAGCCAATTTACAACATGGCAAATTAACAGTTTTTTTTAGTTTTTTATTATGGCACTGTCTAATCAATGTACTCAGAGCTAAAGTGAAGTAGAAGAGGAAAGAAGATAAGAAAACGACCCCACACATTCCTGGAACACATTTTAAATTTGGGGGGAGGAGGGAGATTAGAAAATATTTTGACAAAATCCCAATTTCAACAAAACACTGTATCAAATTTATTCCTGGTTAACACTCTGTAATGGTATGGTTTGGAATAACTTTTGGTGATCTAATTGGCCCATACTTTTTCAGCAAATTGGTCACAGGTGAGTAATATTTAGAAATGCTTGAAACATTTTTATGGCCTAAAGTTAAACAACATGGTATTTACTTTCAAAAAGATAGACCCATTATTATTTATAATTATATCAGCCGATTATTTATTTTTCCTGTCAAGTAAAAGGCTGAACTGATCAAGTTCCCTCAATTAATGATAGACAGATCCATTAATGACAGAAAGTTCCACTCAAACTCAACTCAAGGCTCATTTTTGCAACTTTTCTTATCCAGACGTTTTCCCATAATGCAACTTGATCAATGTTAAATATGCTTTATTTACAACCAAATAGTTCTTTGATGATGGTTCTGACATAAATGAACTATCTTTATTATATTGACTTTTTTGAAGTGTTTTGGAAAAATTTGCTTAAAATTTGTTTTCTTATTTATATCGATTTTAAAAACTTTAACTTCAAAATAAAAAGTTTAAAAAATATTTATAGATTTATATGCAACTTAATGCAACTTAATGCAACTTGAGGAATATTACATAAAAGACAAACCTCTACTATTGGTAAGTATTGTAAGCTGACTGAACAAATGTGCACAGACAGACATAGAAATAGACAGAGCTAGATGGTAAACAAGTTAAATTACCAAATATATTATTTTTTTTATCTTGATAAATATACTAGTAAATAAAAAACATTTAATCTTTATTATTTCAAATCAAAAGTGTTTTCAACATCATATACTTTTAGCTAAAAAGCTAAAAAAATTTAGTTACCTTATATAACAAAACTTCATACTAAACTAATTGACTAAATCATTTGTTAGTTGTTGAACAATTTTACCTACCAACATTTCCATTTAGAATTCTTAGATCTTTAATGATACCATCTTGTGCATCATACCATGGATCTGATGCATACACTTTGACACTCTTAAATGATTGCGGTTTTGTATTTTCAATGCTATGGATAACCTTTCCATTAATATACACCTGAAATGTGTAAATACCATTTAGTCCAGTTTGCGATATTTTGATATTTGACCATTTATTAAGGTCGAGTGGTTCAGAAACTATATTATAACTAGCATTTCCATTAACTGCAGAATATATGTTCAATCTTCCTGAACCATCTTCTAGAAACCATACACCTGGACTTCTATCACCATATTTCCCATTATTTTCTCCAATAGTCAAATGGATAACACTTTTCCATCCAGATGAATATGAATTGGGTTTTAATTTAAAAGTGATGGTGTAAGCTTTTTCTAATGATGTCAATGTTGCAATCAAGTTGTTTTTCTTTAAAATCTCTTCAGATGAAAATTCAACAACATCTATAACAGTAAAGAGAAATGAATAACAAATATATAACAATGTAAATAGACTATAGGTGAAAATTTATATAATAATTGTTTACAATATAAACCATATACAAGTAGTTTTTATAAATTAAAAATAAAAAACAATAAAAAAGGCAAAAAACAAAAAAAATTTCAGTTAAACATAACCTTTTGTAACAAGTACAGCATTTGCCAAAGATTCATCATCTGAAAATAAGTATATTATGAAAGTAAATTTATTTTTAATTTTTTTCTAATCAATTTTACATAGTAATATTATATAATAGATAAAAAATAAAATAGTATTGAAATAAAGAATAATATATAATGATAAATTACAGAACATTAAAAATAATACAATGATATAATAATAAGCTAGTAAAACAAACATTTAACAGCAGTTTAAACAATCAAAACAATAATGACCATGATGATGATGATGATGATGATGATGATGATGATGATGATGATGATGATGATGATGATGATGATGATGATGATGATGATGATGATGATGATGATGATGATGATGATGATGATGACAATGATGATGATGATGACAAGAGAAATGTGTAGAGTTTCTATAAAAACTGTATAGAAACACAACAAATTTGTATAGAAACACAACATATTTGAATAGAAGACTTTCATTAGCTGAGAAAAAAACAAAACGACTTGATAACCACCAAACTGCACAAAAACTAACATATCCTGCATCACCAGAACATGTTGACAGCAGCCCTCCCAGTGACTCTGATCCTGAATTCAAACTTCTCACCATGAATCTAGATGAATCTAATCTACCATCTGCAGTGACAAGACAAAAATCAGATTTTCAATTGCCGTCTACCTCAAAGACAGGCTCCTTTGCCCAAGGTCATTGTTCATTTTCAAAAATGAAGGTTTGAACTGGTGATTGCACTGTCAATAAACAGATAATATGATGCACAGTTCAATGCATTGCGGACTACAAAGTGAGCAGAAATTGGAATCATTGTAACTACAGAGAATGTAGTATTTGGACTGAACTGGTCCACTGCCAATGACCTAGAAGATTCTGATAATGCCGCTGACTCGGACAGTGACACCTCTGGTCCTGATGTACTAAAGCAAAGGCATAAATGCAACAATTTGACTTACATATTTCCTAGCCATGCAGCTAGCTTTGTCTTCCTCTAAAACAAGTACAAACAAAGGCTGAATGCTAAAAATGAGCTCGGCGGGTTCTGTGGATTTATTTGAACTGATTCTGAAGAATTGAAAATATTTACAAACAGTTAATATAATGAGAAAGTTAATAATGCAGTTCTTCAGCGATGTGGTTGACATAAATTCTACTAAGTTAGTGCTGGCAGTATCTACGTACATACTGTACTGTCAAAATAATTGGTTTCAGTTGCATGCCAAAACCTATGCTGAACTTGACAATACATTGATATTTCTAATAATGGATCTTCTGGGGGTGGATGACCATAAAATCTCCACGGATGATGAACGATCTTGGAATGGTGTGTGAACATTTTTTTAAACCAAAACTCCTTAACTCAGAAACCTGAAAGCCAAGAAAAGTCAATCAACCGCTGGTAAAGACCTATCGGTGCTATTCTGGAAGAAGTATTAGAAACACTCAATACACAGTTATCTGAAATGAACTTTTAAAAAAATTCAGATATCAATTGAAAAAAATTGTAACTGGCACCTCTCACCAACCTAGAGTGTGAATTAGAATACACAATACTTGACAACCGAGTCAAAATATGTGGTAGCTCCACAACCGTCACTACTTTTTCAAAAAAAAATGTAGTGATGACAAATGGTCTACTCAGAGATTCATCCAAGCTGGCATGGGTGGACAAGAGAAAGAAATGGTATTTGACGATGATGTCTGATGAGATATGCAGGTCAAAAAACTGGAAAAGGACTTTATAGCAACCGTTCAAACTGCATGAAGAAAAAGGAAGAACTAAAAAAACAGAAAAATTCAAAAATTTTCAAAGTGCTGGAAGATTTTAAAAACCATGGAGGACCTGCGACACAGTCTGATAATGAAATACTAGACTCATTATCTGAAAGTCAGTTCCTCAGCAAAATATGTTATTTGCGTCCCACTGTAGCTCCTAATAATAGACGAAGAAGATGTGTGAAATTGGACAAAGGACAAATTAAAATGCAGAAATTCACTTTTGACAAATTGAGAATTTCTATGAAAAAGTTTTCAAGTCTGTGAATGATCTTGTCGACAACATTGATCAATTACTGAAAAGCGTTTTAACTGCTGAATAAATACTCAATAATATATTTGGTTCGTGATGAATATATAAGAACAAACATTGGCTTATTTGTTTTGCCCCTGAATCACTACAACTCAAGTTACAGATTAATCTCTTAACTTTTGGAATGTCTTAAAATTGTAAACTTTATCATTTTATTCACATAGAAAATAAACCATTGTTAGTACATCAATTTTACATTGAAATTATAATTCCTTGACCTGGAAAATCATAGAAAGGACATATCACAAGGTCTAATCTGGATCTAAGAAAAAATATGGGCAAAAGATTTTTTAAATTAATAGAAGATATTTTTTTATTTTTATATATACATTATTTACATATTTTATAAATTACTTATATATTTTTTATTATATAGAAAAAAAAAATTACTTGAAGAGTAAAACTTCTTTCCTAAATGAACCAAGTAAACAGAATTTTGTAAACATTATTTCAATACAGATGATGATAATGCCTAAGTTTAATCAATGCTGCATTGCATTAATTTCAATGTAACTATAAAGTTTGTTCATTTGACTTTTGAAGAACATAATATAATCAAGAAAAAAAAAGTTCATTTACTAAAATGCACAAAATCTTTTTATTTAAGTATTATTCTGGAGACACTCCATAAAAAGGTTTTGGTGTGGAAACACTACATTTTTGTAAAAAATCTATACCAGAGATAATAGAGAGGATATATCACTCAGTCCTATGTTATTTAGAATGTGTGAAATAATTATTTTTTCTAAATTTTCATAGAAGTAACATTTTATATAAAGATTGTTGAATCAATTGGATGTGTCAATAAAGCAGATAATTTGTCATAACTTTTTCTTTTTCAAATATTTTTATAGAAACTTAACAATTTTGCAATGTTTCTATACCAGACATTAACTAGAAATTGTAATAACAAAACCTGCATGAAATGAACTGACAAAATAACATCATAGCATTAAAGAAGACACAAAAATATTTCGGAAAAAAAATAATGCTTCATAAAATAAAACATTTGTAATGTATTTTACAAAAGCATGTAAACTTTTGCATCAATTTAAAACAGTATAATTTTCACAACAAAACATTTTCTAGTCAAAATTGTTACAAACACACTCTTTTTTAAAAAATAGCGGATTTTTGTGTTAGTGAAATGAGTAAATTATTTTCCTAGTGTTTTAAGATTAGAGCTAGCCACATAATTAAATAAAAATTAAACTAATTCATAGCAAATTTAAACTTAAAATCGACAAATATAGAAACACAATTCTAACATCATATTTTATGCGCTATCTTTAAAAACTTAAATTTTAAATTTATTTTAATGCAAAGTGTACAATAATGCAACTCAAATATTTTGTGCAACCCTGTTTGGTAATGTATCTCTTGTTTTTTATTGCAACTTTTATGTTTGTTATTATAACTTTTGCATTCATTATTGCAACTTTCGTGTTTGTTAATATAGTCCTGCATTCGCTTTTGCAACTTGAAAAAATCTTGTTTTTTATAAAGTAGTTTCATGCCGACACATAATTTATCTGTTCAAAATTTGTTAAGTGGAGTTAAATTTGTTTGGTAAAAGTAAAATATATTGATATTAAGCCAAAAATATAATTTTTATAAGTGAATTTATAATAATCTATTATAAAGAGTGTACATGAAATAAATATGAAAGATTCAATACTTCATTCCTTTTCAGTGGTTGTATTAATATATTTTTAATTGTGTTTGTATTTTGTTTACAACATAATGTGGTTTCAAAAAAAATGTTTATGTTTTCCCATTTAACTTAAAATAAGTATTAAAAATGACAAAAGAAGATGTTAGAGAAACAATTATGAAATTTTTTTTTTGAAAATCTGGAGACGTTACAATTTAAAAGCAAAAGAATTACAAATACATTCCTACACCGTCCTACACCGTTAATCAAGCTGTTCAATATTTTTCCCAAACAAAATCGATCAAACCCAAATCTGGTGGTGGAAGAAAGGAGGTTTTCAACATATAAAACTGGTTAGAAAACTTGTTAACAGTTATAAGATTAACCTGAGCCTTTCACTAATAGACCATTCAAAGAGATACAGATATTTTCATAACTTTGATGTAAAAGTTCAAAATAAACATAGTCTTTATTCTTTCAAATCACAAAAAGCGCTTAACAGATCTGAAACTAATAAAAAAGTGCAAAAACCCGTTGGAGAAAGTTGTGTGACAATTATATTTCTAAATATGTCTGTATAATTAAAGATGATGAAACTTATACCAAGTACGATCATCAGCAAATTCCTGGTGCTGTCTATTATACTGCAAAATATAGAGGATAAACAGATAAGAAATTTAAATACAAAAAACATGATAAGTTTGCTAAAAAAGCTATGATTTGGCAAGTTATTTGCATGTGTGGCAAAAAATCAGCACTTTTTATTTCTGTATCCACACTTTCTGGTATAATATATGTTAAAGAGTGTTTACAAAAACCTCTTTTACCTCAATAAATCACATAGTAGACTATTCTAAATTCAAAGCTATGGAATGGTATAAACAAAATGACGTGAAAGTTTCTAAAACAGCAAATCCTCTTCTGCCCCAAATTGAGAGTTAACAAAAAATACTGCGCAATTATTAAACAAAAAAATTCATAGTAGACATGTATTCTACTATGAATTAAAAAAAAATTAAAAAAAAAAAAACGTTAAAGATTTTATAATGTTATTTTAAAATGCATTAAATAGTTTTGATTCTTATTCTGTGCACAAACTAATGGGTACCACCAAAGTAAAAATTCAAAATTTTATTAGATGCCCACAGGAATAAATTAATTTGTTTAAAATGTTTTATCTTATTATAATGTATTAAAATTATCACTTAGTTCTAAATAAAAATTGGTGAGTACCTTTTATTTAGTAGTTTTACTACTTTCATATTTACTTTGTGTACACGCTTTATATCAACAGCCTATATAATTAGTAACAATATATTAATTATTAATTTTGAATTTTAGAATATATTTTTATTAACAATATTATATATATTGTTAATGAAAATATAATCTAAAAGTGGGTTTTGTGAAGAAAAATAAATCAAAAAACATGCTTTTTTCAGTTTAAATTTCTTTTTTTTAAAGATGCTATATTTAGTTAAACTTTAAATATAATGTGTTTTTACTTAAGTAAACTGTTTTACTTAGTCATGGTGTTTTAACTGTGTTTAGCAGTTGCTTTATTGACATTTTTTAAGATGGAATGAAGTATTATCATGTTACTAATTTAAATATTTTTTAAATTTATGATTGATAAATGCTGATTCTGTTACAACCTTTGCTGTCTTCTTTAGAGTAGGTTTTAAACAATATATTTAACTGACCAATTAGAATATCCAACAAATATCCCAAATGAATGACATCTACTGTTTTGAAGGAGATATAGAACATGACTGTTTTACAAATCTTGTTGTTCAACATTCACTAACTCAACTAGCAATAGGTGTTCGATTTGTTTTAAATAAAATTACAACTAGTCTCCTGTAACAACATTATATAGTGTCCTTGGATTGTTTTTAAATTTTGAGGAATAAATATTCTTAATGTCTTAACTCTATCCATTTTGTTTGATTAATTTGTGGGGTATCCAATGTGATACTTATTTTCTTTTTTTAAGAGCATTGTGAGTAATACAGTTGATTGTAAAACGATATACTGAAAACAGGCCTTCAATTGTATCATATAATACAAAAGGGTTTTCTTTAATAACAATGTACAATTGCTCAATATTTTTAGCTATATTCACACTTGTTCTTAATCATTTTATATTTCTTAATACAAAAAGGATTTTGGTATATGATTCAGGCATTTTGATTCCCATGAAAAACTAGCATGGTTAAAACAATGCAGAACCAAAAACAAGAAAACAAAACTGAAAACAAAAAAACCGAGAACGAAAAACAAAAGAAATGCAAAAAAATCAGAATTTTGAATTTCTTCATAGAAATTTTACAAATATCTGTTACATTGAAATTTCTGTTATATTCAAATTTCTATGTTACATTGAAATTTCTAAGTTACATTGAAATTTCTATGTTACATTGAAAATTCTACATTACATTGAAATTTCTATCTTACATTGAAATTTCTATGTTACATTGAAATTTCTATGTTACATTGAAATTTCTGTTACATTGAAATTTCTGTTACATTGAAACTTCTGTTACATTGAAATTTCTATGTTACATTGAAATTTCTGTTACATTGAAATTTCTATGTTATATTGAAATTTCTGTTACATTAAAATTAAAAATAATTTTTCCATGACTTTGACAATCGAGATAAATACAAATGTTTCTGTCTCGATTGCCTGACAAATTAAAAACACCTTAAGTGAAAAAATTGAATTTTTTAGTTAGGTGTAAGGACATATTTCAAAAATTGTATTAAAAACATTCATCTGATAATCCTACATTTAAAGTGGCTGATGAAATTTATTCTTGCTAATGGCATATCAATATACTCTAGTCTTGCTGGGATCAGATAATCTTAAATGTGACCTGCCTCAGTGACAACTTGAGGCTTGTAGCGACTAATGAATTTTAACCCATACAAATCGCAGTTGTTTAATGCTAATAACTATAGTAATAATGTTGATTTATTGGTTTAATATTTGTCAATTCAAGAAGTTATCATATCATAAACCATCATTCTGCAAAACTTTGACAGAAGTTGACAGAAAAATTAAAAAACTCGCAGTTTTTTCAAATCTTCTTTCAACAGTTTTTATTCTCTTTACTTTTAAACTTTAACATTGAAAAATTGGTAAAATATTTGAAAAAATATATTTTGACTTAATTGAAGAATCAAAGGCGTACTAAAATAAATCAAGGTGAACTAAAATAAAATAAAAACTATGTTTTTATTTGCATCTTAGCAACTATAAAATATTATGTTTTTATTTGCATCTTAGCAAATAAAAATATGTTTTTATTTTTATCTTAGCAACTATAAAGTATTATGTTTTTATTTGTATCTTATCAATTATTTGTGATTTAATTATTTCAAAGCTAAATATAAACATAATTTTATGTATTTAATATTTGTAACTTTATTAAAGATTTAATATTCCATATAGGAAAATACCTATGGAAATATGAAAATATGGAACCCTAATAATATATGCGGTAGTTTAAGAAATATTTAAAATTGTAGTTAAATGTAAAAATGAAAAACATTTTTTTAGATATTTTATACTTTAATTTCAAATTTAAATTCAAAATAAACAAAATAAATATTAAATAAATTTTTAAAAATGAAAGAAAACCATTTTTTAGTGTAAAAAAATTTTTTGTAAAAATTAAAACTAACTTTTCAAAATTTAAAAAAAAAAAAAAAAACTTAAAAGTTTTTAAAAATCAATTTAAATCACCTGGTTTTCCATTTATGATATTAAGTTCTTTGATTAAACCATCTTGAGCAAGATACCACGGATCTGCAGCATAAACCATAACATTGTTAAAGGACTGTGCCTGCTTGTTTTCTTCAGAAAATACTTTTTCGCCATTCAGTTTTATTGTGTAGATATAAGCATTGTTTATTAACTGTTGACTAATTTCAACATGTGACCATTCTTTAAGAGTAACAGGTTTTGTAATGAATACTCTATCATAATTGCCATATATTGCAGAGGAAATGTAAAGACTACCATCACCACTGCCATGGAACCACACACCAGGAACTCTATCACCATATTTACTATTATCAGAACCAATAGTAAAATGAATAACACTGTGCAAACCAGCAGAAAATGAAATTGGTTTCACATAAAAATATATTTTATAAATACTGTCCAGCCTTGGAATAACTGCCACAAGGTTTTTTTTAACCAAAACTGTTTCTTTGCTTCCAATAAGTTGCTCTGAAATCAAATTTTATACATATATTACAAATAATCGAACTCAGTGAAAAGTGATACAATAATCAAATACAGTGATATTTCCATAAATTGTTTTTAATATTTTTGAAATTTTATAAAAATTTTAAAAATAATAAAAACAATTTATGGAAACACAAATTAAAAAAGTTTATTAAAAAAAAAAACTTTGAAAACATGTACTTTTTATTTTTTGTTAAAAAATGATAGTTTTTAAGCCATAAAATATAAACTAGTAATCTTTATAAAAAATGATTATTTTTGAATAACAAATTTTAAATAACAAACGTTTTTTAAAAAATCAAGCTTAAAATGATTAAAAAATCATGAAAAAAGTGAGCTTTTTTTTTAAATAATAAAAAATTAAAAATATTTAAAATAAATTATTTTATTAAATTTATCTTATTTAAAAATAAAAAAAATTTAAAATTACCTAATAAAGTTATTTTAACTAAAGGTGTACTGGATATTTTTGCCGGATATGCCAGATATTGAACTTTTTTAAAGTTCTATAAGTGTTTAAAAAGAAAAAACAAGTCCTACCATTCTGCATTAAATAGTGTTCAAGACTTAAAAAAATAAAATGAAGAAAAAACTGGTATAACACATGTATATGCATTAATAATGTATAAGGAAAAATCGTTTTTATAGCCAAATTTTTTTTTTTTTTAATTACCAATTTCTATATTTTGTCAGCACATATCTCATGTCATAGAGTTTTTCTCTTGATTTTTTAAAGTAAGATCTTGAATACTATTTATTTTAGACTGGAAAGACTTGATTTTTCTTCAAAAACACTTATAGAACTTTAGAAAAGTTCAATATACGGCATATCCAGCAAAAATATCCGATACACCTCAAATTTTAACATGCCCCTGTTAAACATATTAAACCAAATGCGCAACCATGACAGAATTTAGAAAACCATTAAAATAGTATTATACTCAGTATAATATTGGAAGAGTCAACTATTAACTAAATCAACTATTAACTGATAATGCAAGAGGCATGATGTGCATGCATAACTTTTCAATAAAAAATATATAATAACCATTGCTTACTATTAAATAGTTTAAAATTTACTCTTAAAAAATGCATAAAAAAAGTATTTATTTAACTAGTCAACTTGTTTTTAAATTTCATTTTATTTTTATAACTATTATAAGTATTTACAGAAGTTAAAATTTTTTTCCAGTGAGAAAATCCAGGTTTCGCATTTTTTATAAAATCCTGACCCGCATATAATAAGTGCTTGAATATCGAACTCATTTTTAATAGTGTATAATAGTGTCATAACAAATTTTGCTATAATATATTAAAAAGAATTATTCAATATAAAAAACCTATTAAATTATTGCAAATTATTATAAGGAAATGATTATAAATGGTTTAAATAAGTTTATATAATTCGGGTCTTGATTTTAAAGTTTTTTTGAATTTCTTATTTAACTTTTATAAATCTCTGACATATATTTGAATCTCTCTATTAATGCCATCATAAATAATATAACTATTGAAACTTTTATTCATAAATAGTATTTTTTCTAATTTTTTTAATCTATTTTTAAAGTTAACAACTAAAGTTTAATTTTTTAATGTTTTAGTTAATGAAACATGTTCTGTTTTGTAGGCGATTTATTTTACTAATTTTATAGAAGCTGAAGGTGAGCTTATTTTAAATAAAAGTAAGTTGTTCTTTATTTTTTATTGGTTTTGTTTTTGTTTGTTAGATATTCAATTATATTTTATATGAATCTAATTATTTAGTACAATGTTAATCTCTGGAAGTAATATTAAGGTTAGATTTTAAAAAGTTAAATTTACTTTTAAAAAATCTATTAAATATACTTCTTAAAAAATTTACATTTGCTTTTTTTTTAGTTTCTAATTCGAAAAAAATTTTTTGCACAAAATGTTTAAAATTGAATAACAATATTTTGATTTTGATTTTAATTGTAATGACAGCTTATCACATATTGTGGGTTTTAATTTCTTTTTCTTAAGCTTTATAGTTTGTATTTATCTTAATGTGATAAAGTTATACCTTTATATATAAAGTATTTTAAATAAAATTTGTTTATTTTCTACGTTGTTGTGAAGTTACAGTTTGTATTTTTCTGTTTAGATATGAAGGTAACATTGACAAAAAGCTGCCAATGTATGCCATATTTTAAATTCATTACAATTTTTAATCAAAATTTTTAATGAAACTACAAATAAAAAGTTAAGTTTCATTAAATGATATAAAATTTTTTTAAATGATTTTCTTATTTATTATAAAAGATTTTTTTCTTATTACAAGTTTATAATGTTAATAAAATAATAATAACTTAATTTAACAAGTTTATAATGTTAATAAAAAAATAATAACTTAATTTAATAAGTTTATATGTTAATAAAAAGGTTGTTGATCATTAGAAGTTAAATTTTAATATTTTAGCTAATTCAATTTTTTTTTTAATCACCACTTATCTTATGACTGAAAATTTAAATACCATTTTTAGTTAACAATAATCATGATTCTAATGATTGTTATTGAAAGCTCTTAACTTTCAGATGCTTTTTTTATTTTCATTGTGTAATTAAAGTGCTATGTTGGTAACTTTTAATTATTAGCATTATTTTTTTATTTCTTACTTATTTTTTTATTTCTTTAATATCTTTTTAGCTTTTGATTTTTTTTAAAACTGATTTAGAAAAAATTTAATATTTTCTAATATGATTGTGTTATTCTATTTGATGAGATATTTTACTATTGGTTTGATTGCTTTGAATTGTTTTTAATTTTCAATTTGATTACCTGTATTTTATTGATATTAATTTTAGCCAACAAAGTTGTAATACTTAACTGCATCTACAAATAGAAGATGTAGTTAAATGTTTTTAGTTTAATATGTATATTTTTATTGATCTTTTTTGTTAAATTTTGTTTGTTAATAAATAAATTTGTTGAAAAATACCCTTTTATTTCTTTTTTTTAATATCAGGTTATGTTTATAAAAAATTTTTGTTGAAATTTGGTTTCTACACTAAACACAATCAAAATTTTAGTCAGCAGACGTGCAAAATAATAAAATGATTTGCTGCAGTGACTGTGTTTATAATTCTCTATGTTAAAATTAATATTTACTGTCAGTTAAGATTTTGTGAATACTTCAAATTGTAGTTAATAATTTTCAAAATAATCAACAAATATCACTTAATTAGAGGTATCTAATAAGTACTTACAATGTAAAAGAACTTTGCCTACTGTTAAAATATGGTTTTAACTTTTAAAGTAAACTTTTAAAATATATTATGTTGATTATTAGCGAATAGTTTAAAAAGAAATTAGTTTGTCACAATCAAGGTAAGAATAATTTTATATTCTGATCAAATTAATGTGTAATAGTTAATTGTCTTTGCAATAATGTCTTTTCTTACAGATTCTATTTTCAAAAATGCTCTAGAAAAAACATCAGGAACAGGTAAATTGGTTTGTAGAGTTAATATGTAATGTTTTTACTTCTTTTATCATATCATTATTTTAATTTATTTAATTTAAGATATATCTTACAATGCTTTTTTGTCATATTGCAGAACAAATAGAGGACCCACAACTCATAAGGCATGAGGTGTGGGCCCTAATTTTGTGACAAACCCCCCCCCCCCCATCCTTTTTTGGTTAATACGGAGTGTTGATTAAGCCACTGCCAGCAGCAAGATTTAATAAGAGTCACCCTGGGATTTGTTCTTATACTATAAATATGTAGACTTAAAAAAAAATAAACGTGCAAAAGTTCATAATTATTTAGGGATATCAATTTAAGTAAATTTGTGGTCACATAATTTAAGGACGAGGGGCGTTATAATTTATAATATCGAAACTTAGTAAAAAGTTATAATTAGAATAACAAAGTCATATTTTTCGGTAATTTTTGTTTTAACTGGGTTGTTGTTTTTTTATACCTTATGTTTTACACTAGAAATAATGTTTTATATGAACAAACTACTATTATACATAACTTATGTATTTAGTACTTTTTCAATAACTTGTTAGCTTTAAAGAATAAATGTATTTGCAGTTTATTTTTGTTTACACTTTTGATTGATGCAAAAGTTATTATTTATTTTAAAAAAAAATTTTCCTGTTGAATTAATTAATTTAAAATGTACATAAATTGTATAACTTTATAAAGGTATATAATTTGTATATATATATATATATATATATATATATATATATATATATATATATATATATATATATATATATATATATATATATATATATATATATATATATATATATACATATATATATATATATATATATATACCTATATATATAAATATATATATATATATAAATATATATATATATATATATATATATATATATATATATATATATATATATATATATAAATATATATATATATATATATATATATATATATAAATATACATATATATATATATATATATATATATATATATATATGTATATTTATATATATATATATATATATATATATATATATATATATATATATATATATATATATATATTATATATATATATATATATATATATATATATATATATATATATATATATATATAAATATATATATATATATATATATATATATATATATAAATATATATATATATATATATATATATATATATATATATATATATATATATATATATATATATATATATATATATATATATATATATAAAGAAAATGCCTAATACAATAAAAAGTTTGAGAACTCGTAATGAAAACAAGAGATATGCTGGTTTGCCATCTGATCTTCCAGTTAGTGATCTTCCAACTTATAGGCAAGTGGTTCAATATTCCTACTTTATTTTAAAAAACATAAACAGTGTCAGAAATATTAATTCTCCAAAGATTGTTTCAAAAGTTGCCAGTGACAACTTATTGATCTGTGGATTAGTAATCCTAAGTAAATCCTAATCTGATACACGAGAAGTCAGTAACCAAAAAATGTTTTAGACTTTTAATCAAAGTTTTGTCTGCAGAAGGCAAATTCAAAAATTCAAATAAAAACAAGGAGTATCTTGATTGCAATTTTGAGCGTTTATTTGATTTGTCATCATGTAATTGTGGACTTCCAGTAATAGCTTGCAATGATAAGTAAGAAAGGCCTATTTTTATTTTAAAATATTTTAAAATATTTATTATTATAAAACAAAAATCAGTATTATTAAATAGTTTCATGGTTTGCAGTTCTAGTTTTCATTTAAGTTTATTTTGTAGATAAATAAATTATGTTTTGAACATTTTTATAGATCTGTGAAGTGTAGGAACCAACCAGATTGCAAGACAACACATTTTGCTTGTCTCTGTGAAGTTAACAAAAAGGTAAATAAGTTGAAATTATAAAAGTTAATTTAATTTAAATCTATAGTTTGTTAAACAAGTAATCAGAATCAAAAGCATGTCAGAAAAATAACGTAATTAATTTTCTTTGAATTTGGCAACAAATCATTTTGTTATATATATTATTAAGAAACACATCATTGTTATATAATACAAGAATATATTATATACTGTTTTTTTACTTGACTCCATGTCTTTGTAATATACAATATATTTGTTTTTAATTGACTTAATGTAAAGTAATTGTTAAAAAGCTGTTAAACATATTATAATTTTTATGTTTTGCAATTAAAAAAAGTTTTGCATTTTTCAGGTACCACTATTAGATAGATAGATAGAGAATATTTGAAGGATCAAAAATTGAAAATTGGAACTATTGGAAGATTTCAAATTGGTACGATTGATAAAAAAGCAGTTGCCATCGAAAAAAGAAAGCGAGACCGTGAAATTAATCAGCAGATAAGATCTCACTTGCTCCAGAAATTCAATGTGATCATTATATGGATTGTGATTTAGATAATAAAAATGACTCAGAAACAGATCCTGACTATTCGATAACTGCACCAGCTGAAAGAAATCAAACTTATTTAACAAACTTGGCAAAAGCCGCTATTAGGTATGAAATAAGTGATGTTGCAACAGCTGCATTGGCAACAGCTGTATTAATTGACTATGGAATTGTTAAAGAAAGTAATAAAGCACAAATAATAACAGAAAAAAAAATTTGGGGGGAAAAAAAAAGAATCAGCAGTATTATAAGCTCTAAACATTTAGCTGACGTTAAAGAATTAGAGGTTATTGGAGTTGATGGAAAAAAGGACAAGTTTACGTTGACACATTCTATCAGGTATAACAGTAATGGAGATCCAGTTGTTGTTGCTGCAATCAAAGAAGAATACCATCTAACATTTACAGCAGAGAGTAGACCCACATCACAAAGTTATTTGACTCATGTAGTTATACCTAATGGAATTGGTGCAACCATGGCAAATGCTACTGCTAATGTTTTGTTGGAATTTAACAGTGTTCAGAGTTTAATTGCGGTTATTTTAGATAATACAAGTTCAAATACAGGTTGCGATAGTGGTTTGGTTGTCAAACTTGAAAAAATTATAAACAAAAACTTACACCTTTTAGGATGTTTGCTGCATCAGAATAAACTCCCATTGTGACATATCATATTAGAATTAGATGGAAAGACAGTTAGTCCTAATTCTTTCAAAGGGCCAATCGGGGAGGCTGCATCTAACCTAACACTTCATGAACAGCCATTGTTTCAATTTGTACCCATAAAGTCAGAGGTAGAGTTATTTGTTAACAAAGAAATTATAAGTGATCTTAGTACAGACCAGCGCAAACTCTATGAGTATTGTGTTGGTATTTCAAAAGGTTTTATTTCTGAAAGGTTTGTTTCAAAAAAACCAGGACCAGTTTGCCATGCCAGATGGCTAACTCTAGCACTCAGAATTATGATGTTATATGTTAGGACTAAGGAGCCATCTCTTGAGCTATTAGCAGTAAATAAGTATATTGTGCAAGTTTACTGTGTAATGTGGTTTGCTATCAAACACTCTAGACAATACAAAGATGCTTGTCTACTCCTATATAAAAATATTCAGTTGGTCAAGCTTCAAGAAAGCAGGATTCAAAGTATCGTTTTTACCAATCTCCAGGGAAATTCATACTGTTGTTTGCAGGAAAATTTTCTTTACTGCATGCTGCAGGATCAAAATATACATATAAGAAATCGAGCTCTTAACCAAATTTTTATAATAAGAAAATTAAAAGAAGACATAACTTTCAAAACTCAGCTTAAACCAAAATTGGTAATGAAAATAAATTTTGATGCTGGTTCTTGAGACTTTCTTGTTTCAGTTGATGAGATTCAAATTGAGCCACCAGCAACACTTAGCATTACTTCAGAAAAAATTAGAGAGGCATTTGAATCTGGAAAAAATTTGCCTAATTGATTTTCCTAACAATTCGCAATCCGTTGAAAGAGCAGTAAAACTAACCTCTGAAGCTGCTAAGCAGGTTTATGGTCTAGAAAAAAGACACAAATTCATTTTGGCAAAGAACCAAAGTCAAAAAGAGAATAAGAGAAATGTAAAAAAATGTGATTATTTTATAAAATGAATATCTAATTTTGCAATTTTCTGTGGGATTTAATTAAAAACAGCTTGCTATGACAAATGCTATAAAAAACATTCTGACTAAGTTGTTTAGTGTTGATAAATTAATATTCCTTAAAAATAACAAAGCTACGAAAGATATAAATCGACTGTAAAAAACGTAATAAATGGCTAAAAATTAAATCAGGGTACAAAAAGATCTATATAAATGTTTTAACCCCCCCCTAATAAATTTAAGACCCTTTACTTGGGGGGCTTGCCCCACAAACCCCCCTGGAAAGAATTTTCTGGCCCCTAGATCCCCAGGTATAGCTTCGCTAACGCTGGGCATTTTTACCTCATCGCCACATTAGGCCCTCCTATAATAACAGCCCCAGGCCTAAGAATGCCTTAATCCGGCCCTCAATTCAATTAAGATATATATTTGAACCGATTTCCCAAAGTGAATATAAATTAAACAAAGTTAAATTTATATTTTTCTTGTTATTTATATTGCAATGAACAAATTCCAGGGTGACTCTTTTCAGTTTTCAAAAAAAACACCTTCTAGGCAGTGGCTTAGTGTTGATCCTGTCAAAAAAAAAATATGAGGAGAGGGAGAGGTGGAAAAATAATATGTTACATCTATAATTATTGTAGTTGATTAATCTACCAATTGTTAGTTGATGATTCAGATGTAGTCAAATTTTTTTTGTAAATATATACTTTTTCTTTATATATTTTTGTTTTTTTATTATGTATATTATTATGTATAAATATACAATAATTGTAACTAACAAACCATTTTTTTGCTTAATGATGTTTAGTTTTAAAAAAATATTTTTTGTTCTTTTTTATAAATAAAAATTTTTATATAAACTAAGTAGATTTTGTTTCATTTTCTTAACAATTTATGCATTTTTTAATTGTTGAAAAGTCATATATTTTGTTTATTGCTAATTGTAAATAAATATATATACTTTAATTTTGCATTTTATTATTTTAGTAAAAGTATAATAATTATAAAATGGGAGGGACAGGATGGAACAGATCAAGACACGTATTTTACAAATTTAAACAGCTAGTATTTATATGTTATTATTATTATTATTATTATTAGTATTATTATTATTATTATTATTATTATTATTATTATTATTATTATTATTATTGAATATATTGTATTTATGCTTATTTAGATTTATAACTAGCTTTTGTTTAATTAGGACTAATTATGGTCATACTAATTATGGTAAATTCACATGCTTAAGTTCATTAGATAACACTTCTGGTTTTATATAACAACAACTAGGTCATTAAATTATCCATACAATAAAACCATTGTCTAACTGTTCAATGAACCGTTCAGTAGAAGTGTTAGAGTATTTGTTAGGGCAAATCTGATAACACCTCTGTTGGTACTGTGCTCAGCTTCTTTTCACATGTTGTAGGGTCATCAAGAAGCTGTTAGCTTCCTGATGAAACTACTGATGGTGAAACATGCTGTTGAACACAACTAAAAATTAGATAAATTAGAACATAGAACACTCTATTTGTAGAATACACTAACATAATTTATATAAATACATATATATATATATATATTATATATATATATATATATATATATATATATATATATATATATATATATTATATATATATATATATATATATATATATATACATATACATATTACAGTATAAAATACTTGTAAAAAAGTGTAGCTCTTTGTCCTAGGTAAAGGTAACTAAAAAATAATTTTAAATTACCTTTACCTAATAAAACTGCGAGCCAAATGGTCTATTATTTTTACTATTGCAGTTTAATATTGAAGCACTTTTGATTAATATAAATAAATTTAAAAACATAAGTGTGCTCACCAACATTTCCATTAATAATTCTGAGATCTTTAATAGAACCATCCTGTGAGTCATACCATGGATCTGATGTATACACTTTTACATTTTGAAATGATTGTGGTTTTGTATTTTCAATGCTATGAACAATATATCCATTTATATGCACTGTGAAAGTATAGACTCCGTTAAGTCGAACTTGAGAAATTCTGATACTTGACCATTCATTAAGAGGAAGAGGCTCAGAGGTAAAAATATAACTAACTTTATCATTAACTGCAGAAGCAATGGTCAGTTTTCCTAAACCATCTTCATGAAAAAATACTGCAGGAGTTCTATCACCGTATTGAGCTTTATCTTGTCCAATTGTTAAATGAATTACACTTTTCAATCCTTGTGAATATAAGTTGGGTTTTAACTTAAAAGAAACTAAATATACTTTTTCCAAAGATTTTAAGATTGCAATCAAGTTGTTTTTGTTAAATGCCATTTCAGCAGCTTTTTCCACATAATCTAGGACAAAAACAAGAACGATTTATGTTCTTGTAATTTATTTATTACTATGTAAATTGGACTGACTTTAAATTAAAATGAACTTTCATTACAAATCCAAAATAATTAAAAATGTAAACAACATAAAAATTGAATTTTTTTTATTTTACTTTAATAAATATTGCCTTTTATGGCAAGTATAACATCTCAACTTACCATTTGTAGCAAGCACAACGTTAGGCAATAGTTTGGAATCTAAATTAAAAATAATCTTTAAAACTATAAATTTTTTTTATCAACTCAGTTCATATAAACCTAAATTTAAAAAAATACCAAACATGAGAAATCAAACTTATGCTACTAGGTAAGTCAAGTAATATTGTCCCAAAATTATGTATACATATATATATATATACATATATATATATATATGTATACATACATATATATATATATATATATATATATATATATATATATATATATATATATATATATATATATATATATATATATATATATATATATATATATATATATGTATACATATATATATGTATATATATATATGTATATATATATATGTGTATATATATATGCATATATATATATATGCATATATATATATATACATATATATATATATACATATATATATATATATGTATACATACATATATATATATATACATATATATATGTATACATATATATATATATATATATATATATATATATATATATATATATATATATATATATATATATATACAAGTTTATTGATCACATATTTTAAATTATGTTTGCAAATTAATATTTAATTCCTCAAGTTTAATTTTAATTTGGTAATTTTAGCTTGTTTAATTTGGTAATTTTAGTTTAATTTGGTACTTTTAGCTTGTTGCTGAAAATGAGTGAAAAGATAAGTTCTTCAAATTGTTCTTTGACACGTAATCAAACTGCAATATGGTTGATTGGTCAACCTGAGAAGAATCTACCAAACATGTCCTTCCAATAATGGTTGATGTGTTAAGGACCCTTTTCCACTATCACAAAGCTTTGAAACAAACAGTTCCAGCCAGTGCAAAAGCAACATCTAATGGTTTAGCTCACATCTGGAAAAAGGCCAGAATTCCGATAACTTACCTCATATTGTATTAAAAGTGAAAGCATGTGTTGATAAATATAATTTAATTAAAAAGAATAAAAGAAGAGCTAGTAAGTCACAGATTGCTAGAGAGAAAGATTTTAGTATCAGATTTACTGTTTGACATTTCACACAAGGATGCAAACAAGCTAATTAAAATTGATGAAGATAAAATATTTCTGGAAGACTAAAAGAATGCTCGTATGATGAAGATGACTGGAGAAGATGTAAAATTATCTCAACAAGAAAAGCGAACAGCAGAGCATCAACAAGCAGAAATAAAAAGAAAGCAGAATGAGGAAGAGAGAAGACAACAAGCAAATGCTGTCCTTACCCCTAGCTGTAGCCACTTTAGTCTTGATTGTGATAGTGATAGCGAAGCAACAGAAGTCAGTGACATTCCTGATGACAATGATGATTATAAAATAGAAATTCCAGTTTATCACAAAAAAACTAGTAACCCAATCAACTGACTGTGAACAAAGTCCTAAAAATAAAAAGCCACATATTCTCAATGAAATTTTTTCTTCTCCAGATGTATCATCCACACTTGATTGAATCAATTCATCTGATCAAAAATTCACTATATTGGCAGCTTCAATTGCTAGAGCAAGTGAAGAGGACCTCCAAAGTACACCATTATCAAGATCAACAGTCCGCCGCAAACGCATCATGCACCGTTCATATTTGGCAAATATGAATGGTGAATTCATATTTGCCGAATATGAATTCACCGAATATGATTTTCCGGATATTTCAAATATTCATAAAATCGTGTTCGGCGGAAATTTGTGTAGAGTGGGGAACGACATATGGTTGTCCACTGGGAGGGTAAGATGATGAGAGACAGCACTAACTATGAAAATCTAAAGTCCAATGTTGATAGAATTGCTATTGATGTGACTGGTCATAATCTGGAGAAAATACTGGGTATTGTAAAGATATCATCTGGCACTGGACTGGCACAAGCAAAAGCAACCTTTCAGTTACTGACCATATGGAATGTTGCAAATTATATTGTCGGTATGTGTTTTGACACAACAGCCTCAAACACGGGTTCCAAAATTGGTGCGCGCATCTTGCTAGAGAAGTTGATGGAGAAAAATCTTCTCTACTTTGCTTGCCGTCACCATATGCATGAAGTAATTATTGGGGAAATATACTCAGTTTTGGTTGGACCCAGCAGTGGGCCCAACATAGCTCTATTTGAACAATTTCAGAAGTGTTGGCCAAGCATAAATCAAGCCAATTATGCTTCATTAGATGACAACCATTTTGCTGAACCACAGCTTCAGCAACTTAGATCAGAGGCTGGCTCCTTTCTGCAGCCTTTCTTATTAGATGACTCTTCGCACTTACCAAAAGAAGACTACAAAGAGATGATCAAGCTGTCCCTTTTAATTTTAAGTTTTCCGTTATCAGACTATGTCACCAAGAAGTATCGCTTTTGCATGCCAGGAACTTATCACATGGCTAGATGGATGGCTAAAGTCATCTATTGTATAAAGATATACCTCTTAAGAAATGAATTCAAACTGACTATGAAAGAACAGAACAACTTGTACGAATTTTGTATTGCTGCTGCTCATATCTATGTACCAGCATGGATTGCCTGTCCAATTGCAAGTGATGCTCCAGCAAATGACCTGATGCTCTTCACAAGAATTAAACAATATTCTGAGATCAATAAGGTCATTTAAAATACTGCTATGAAGAAGCTTCAAAATCACACTTGGTACCTTGGGTCAGAAATGATTCCACTTTCATTATTGTCTGACAGGGTTTGTGACACAGAAAAAAAATTGATTGTTAAAGCTATGATTCAAAGTGGAGCTGATTGAAGTGTCAGGGGTATAAAGTGTCCAGCAGCAGAATTAAACATGTTGGAAAAGAAGCAACTTCATGAGCTTGTTACATCATTATCAACTACTGCTTTTATCTGGAACCGATCCAAAGATCCTAGGAAGAACCTAGGAGGAAATTGCTGAATTTTGTTATACTAAAGCAATTGTTAAATCTGTGAAAGTTATCAATGACGCTGCTGAGCGTTCTGTTGCTCTTATGAGCACATTTAATCAATCCATCACAAAAACTGAATCTGAAATGCAGAAACTAATACAAGTTGTTGAGGACAACAGAAAACGCATTCCAGATTGCCGCAAATGCATCTTGATGACATGCCACTGTTGTTACAGACTAAAATTTTGATCTTGTAAATAGTGCAACATTATGCAATGTTATTTGCATTATTTAAGGCAATATGCAACGTTATTTGCATTATTTAAGGAATTTAGAAAATGAGGCACTGTTTTAAGGATGGACCAATTCAGTGTAAAATCATCAATATTTTTATCTTTAAATTCCCATATATATTTTGACAGCATGGTGTCTTTTGAATACTTTTTATTTTTAAAAGATTGCTTATGATTGGCAAAATATATATATATATATATATATATATATATATATATATATATATATATATATATATATATATATATATATATATATATATATATATATATATATATACATATATATATTTATGTATATTTATGTATATATATATATATATATATATATATATATATATATATATATATATATATATATATATATATATATATATATATATATATATATATATATATATATATATATATATATATATATATATATATATTCTTTTCAATGATATTTGATCTAATTTTATTAAAAAAATTTTAAATAAAAACATTTTTTTTACAAATTTTTTAATTCATCAAAAATCATAATTTTTTAAATCAAATAAACGTTGATTAAATTATTAATATATGTTTAAAAAATAACAATAAACATAATATACATCAATGTTTTATCAATGCTGAAGTATTGATAAAATTTAATTTTTTTCAGCCTAACAGCAAATTTTTGAATTCAAATATTGACTATTATTTAGCTGACATATCACAACAAAAACACACACATATACACACACACACCCACACACATACACACACATAAAGCTAAATATTACATTAAGAAACTTAAGAAATTTAAACTTAAGAATACCTTTGTATCATTTCTTTAATGATAAATATTTTATATGCTCAATTGACAGAACTTTTTAATTTAGTAAACTTGATTTTCAAACTCCCATTATTTTAAACATTTTTGAAGCGAAATAATGAAGGAGATTATGGAGATAATGAAGGAGATAAGGGTGATAATGATACCATAGATTAAAAACAAAATAAAAAAATTCTTATTTGAACAAAATAAATTACAATAATCTTTTAAAATAAATTTCATTAATTTAAAAGCCAACTGATGTTAAAATAGTTCAAAATTCTTATAAATTTATTAATTATTGATTGATATATTTTAAAGGTGGGGGCAAGGGTATTAATTGTATTATACATTACATTATGAAATACAGTTAATATCTGGTAAGTCGAGCACTGGTTTACTCAAACTTTTGTTATCTCCAACTATTTTCTATAGTCACTTAAAAACAAGAATGATCATTTTACTTTGTTTAAGTCAAATATTTGCTTAGCTAAACCGTTTTCCTTGGTCTCTTGGAGGTTTGAGTTAACTGTAATTTACTGTATCTATAATATCCCCCTGATCACTAGTTTTTATTTTCTATAGATTTAGAATCATTTATTGTTTTCAAATTTGCATAAGCTGGATGTAGTTCCAATTATATTAGCAAAACTGATTATCTAAAAGCACAGCAATAATAAACTATTACAAAGACAAATTATCATGTATCTATCTATTATCTAAAATTATTGCCATCTTGACTTCAAAATTTAGAAAAAAATTATTTTATGTATAAAACTAGGGTATGCACAAATTACAAACCAAAACTTGAGTTTAAAATAATTTTGTAAAACAAATTCTTAATCCTGGTAAATATAAAAGAGATAAGAGAGTAATATTCTAGAGATATAAAGTTTTTATCTTTTAACCCTTTCATAAAATTTTTCTGTGTTAATAGACAAAACTTTCATGATGAATGGTCATTTATTTTTTACTCAGGTAACATTGAAAATAAAGAGAATTTATTTTTTTTATACATAGGGTCTGACTGACCATCATCTCCAATATGCTACCCTTAAACTTTTTTTATTAATTAAATTTCCATTTTATAAAACAACATATACAATTGTTAATTTAAATTTTATTTTTATCAATTTATAACCATCATTATTCCAACAATAATTGTTTATTACTTTCAATTTAGTTTATTTCTCTTAACTCTATATTACGCACATTTCTTTTTCAATTTAAAAAAAACAGACAACTCCAATGCAAAAAACTTTAGAGCACTGTTTAAAATTTAAACAAAAGATGTAATGATTTCAAAATCACAAAATGGTGATAAATCAAAGAGAAACTGCTGCAAAGTTGATATTATAAAATAAAAGGAGTTATCTGTTTTTTAATGTCTGTTGCCATTTTGCAACATTAAGGTTAATCTTATTATCACATATTTTTAAATAATGGTTTCTGATTTTAAGCTTAAAATAGTTAATAATTTGTTCACCTGACTTTCCATTTATGATAGTAAGATCTTTTATAAAACCATCTTGAGCTGGATGCCATGGATCAGAAGCATAAACCATGACATTATCGAAGGACATTGCTTGCTTGTTTTCTTCAGAAAACACTTTTTTTCCATTCAGTTTAATTCTATAGATATAAACATTATTTACTAATTGTTGACTAATTTCAACATGTGCCCAGTCCTTGAGAGAAACAGCTTCTGTTTTGTATGCTTTATCAGGATTGCCATTTAATGCAGAGGAAATAAAAAGACTACCATCACCACTGTTATGGAACCACACTCCAGGTACTCTATCACCATATTTACTATTATCAGCATCAATAGTAAAATGAATAACATTGTGAAAACCACCAGAAATTGAATTTGGTTTCACATCAAAGTATATTCGATAATTACTGTCCAACTTTGGAATAAATGCCACCAGGTTTTTTTGAACCAAAGCCGTTTCTCTGTCTTCAATCATTTGCTCTAATAAAAAGTTAAAAACATCTTGATGGTTAAATTTTTTTGGAAAAAACAGTATACAGTTATAAATAAGCATTAAAATCATATAAGATATTTGAAATAGCTTCTATCAGTTTTTTTTTATTAGTAATATACAATATTTTGAACATTTAATAATATATTATTTTAAATAGTAAAATAAGAATAAAATCTCTGAATGGTATTCAAAAGCAAAAATTTTCTATGTAGTTAAAAGAAAAAAAAAGCAACTAATAAAAAAATAAAGCATCTGCGAGTCAGGAAGCAAGTCTACCTTTTTTTTTTTTACTAATTCACTCCCAACAAGGCTTCATACTATTAAAGTTTCATACTATTATTATATAAGTTTCATACTATTATTATTAAAGTTTCATACTATTATTATATACTTCATACTTTTTAAGTTGGGTTTTAAATAGTGAACAGAATGTTATTAAAGAGAAAGAAAATAGTTGACAGTAGACTTAGTAAACTGTAAATTGAGTCAGAAAAACATAAAGATGGAAGAAAAATTTGTAAAAAAACAATGGGAAAGTGGCTCAAGCATATCAGAAAAAGCAAATCAAAAATAACCTAACAATTGACAATTGTTTTTCTGATGTATTGGTATATGATAATATGATAAAAAACATTACAGTGTAAAACTTAAAAAACTTTTACTAAAACATAATAAATTTTATTTAATCTATGAGCTTTTTTATCTAAATATCAAAAAACTGTTGAAAATACATAATACATAGCAAACATAAATATAGTAAACATAAAAATACTTGTGGATTTGTGAATGCAGAAAAAAGTTACATGAATGTACCACCACACCCCTGAAGTGTAGTTACATTTCAGGGGCGTGGTGGCCCTGAGGTTATGTGAGATTCCTGCATGAGTCTTTTACTTTTTATTTACATGGTCACTGCTCAAACTCTCTAGTTCCATCATTTAAATGCTCTATTACCTCTATTGATTAACCTCAATTACCTTGATTACCTCTAGATTCATTAACCAAAACTTATACCGCTTGACTCATCATTTAGCAAAGTTGCACCCTGCTACTCTATCTGTCTCTTCATGGTTTAAAATCTAGTTTCTTTCCTCACACACCAATCCTTTGGAACTTTCTCCCATCTTCATGTTTTTCTGACTCAATTTAAAAATGGGTCTTTTACTTATTTTTACTTTTTTCTACACTCTAAAGAAAATCCACAAACATTTTTATGCTTACTATATTTAGGTTTGTTACGTATATGTATTTTTGCGGCGTTTTTTGATAATCAGATAAAAAAGCTTATAGATAAAATAAAATTGGTCATGTTAAAGTAAAAATTTTATTTTTTTTAAAGTTTTACATAAATATATACATAATTTTTTATTTCATAAATACATCAGAAAAGCAATCATAACAATTGTTGTTTATGTTGTTGTTTTTTCACAGTTTTTTAAATATGTTTTTTAATGAAATTCTTATACTAATCATTTGAGAGTATTGAGTTTATTTTAAAGATAATTATGTCAAAACAATTTTAAAAAATCTTCAATTACGACCTTTTTTACCATTAAGACGCTTACAAAAATTTAACAATGAATAAACATTCTTTTGCTTTTTTTTAATATTGCCTAATTGTTTAACACATTAAAGCAATATTTGATTTTTATGTTTTTAGACCTGTTGGGTACAATATTTTATTTTTATGTTTTGTCTAGAAATCAAAAAGCATTATTAGAAGAACCAGCCCAAATATGACAAAAGTATTCCATACAGAGACAAATAAGAAATATGTAAAGGCATAGAATATTACAAGAGATTTGTAGAAGTAGAAAATCGAATCATGAGTAAGATAATGATGAATATGATAAAGAGAAGCAACATTAGCAGACGCTTAGATTCATTAGTTACTGCAAGCCCCAGGCTATTACAGAGGAGAGATCAGACTCAAGATTGACAGCCTGTTCTAAACAATAAGTGATGACTTTTTGACAAGAAAGTAGTATATAGTTGTGTTTTCAGCAAATAGATCTTTATATGTAAGATTGTTACCATTAATAAAGATGACAACATCCTTGTCATAGTCCATAACTATAGTGTGGTTAAGATAACATTCCTGTCATAGTCTTACAAAAGTGCTTTTTTAAACCTATGACAAGAATGCTTATGTTAATGACACTGTTGAAGATTTTTGAAAAACATAAAATACAAGATTAAGTAAACTGAGAGTATTGAATTTTGACATTAGATAGCACCATCTTACTTTTACGCTGATTTTTGCAATAATAAAAAGATGTTTGTTCTCAAGAGAGTTCTTTCGAAAAAGATGAAAAAAATTATGATTAGATATAGCAGCTGCAAAAGAAGGTAAAAACCATAGGAATGAGGCTTAACATGAAACCCACAAAAAGGAATAAAAACGAATAAAAGCTTCCTTACCTGTTTAGATTTAAAAGATTATGTAAGAGGATCAATAAACTTTAAAATATATAGAACAAAAAAAAAGGTTCTTATACTACTTACGAAATAAATAAAAAAATTAAGTAAAAAAATGTGTTTGAGTATGTCAATTTAACCCATTTAATTATAAATAATTATATTACCAGTCCTTCATTTTCAAATGGCAAAATTTCAGTTTTAACAATGAACGAGTATAGTGAAAAGGGAGGGATTGGCTAAGTAAGTTTACCCACTGACAATATATATATAAATAAAAATATATAAAATTTTAAACAAAAAAAATATAGTTAAGTAATGCAACTAACCAACATTTCCATTAATAATTCTGAGATCTTTAATAGAACCATCCTGTGAGTCATACCATGGATCTGATGTATACACTTTTACATTTTGAAATGATTGTGGTTTTGTATTTTCAATGCTATGAACAATATATCCATTTATATGCACTGTGAAAGTATAGACTCCGTTAAGTCGAACTTGAGAAATTCTGATACTTGACCATTCATTAAGAGGAAGAGGCTCAGAGGTAAAAATATAACTAACTTTATCATTAACTGCAGAAGCAATGGTCAGTTTTCCTAAACCATCTTCATGAAAAAATACTGCAGGAGTTCTATCACCGTATTGAGCTTTATCTTGTCCAATTGTTAAATGAATTACACTTTTCAATCCTTGTGAATATAAGTTGGGTTTTAACTTAAAAGAAACTAAATATACTTTTTCCAAAGATTTTAAGATTGCAATCAAGTTGTTTTTGTTAAATGTCATTTCAGGAGCTTTTTCCACATAATCTAGGAAAACAACAAAAAACATTCATGTTTTATGATTAAAAAACAAGAAATATAATAACAAAAGGAAGATAATAATATCAAAATTATAAAGGTTATTAGCTAAATTATTCTGATGATTTTTATCTTCTGTAAAAAGCAAAACCTTTCACCCTACCTTTTGAAACAAATACAACATTTGGCAAAGGTTTTGCATCTAAATTAAAGAAAGAAGTAAATATGTTTATAAAAGAAATATTTCAATTAATTCAGTTAACTTATTTGATAATATATAAATTCAATAACAAAGATTCTTTAAAATATTTGGAAACATGGTATTAAATTAGATTAGCCTCACTATTTCTAAGTGTTTCAATAATATCTCATTGAATACTGTGAGAAACACTTAAATAAGAATATCTGTGTATGTCTAACCATTACCTTATGACTAACAGAAACTCAAAAGATAAATAAAAGCAGTTTCTATGAATTTATTTTATGTATTATGTAATTTGAAAAAAATAGGAATGAAATATAAAACAGTTTAAAAAAAAAAAAAAAAGCACAAGAGTTCTAAAATTTACAATATATTGGGGTGGCTAAAAATCAATGAGTAATTTTTCTAATAATTTCTAGAAAGTTCTGGAAGCTTCAAGAAGTTTCCATGATTTGAGTTTATATAGGGCCTGTAACATCCTATCAGACGAACTAAAGTTTATGCTTTGCAACTTCTGTTATCACAGTAAAACAGACGACATTAAATACAATGTACAGCACTGTGGTAAAGTCAGCTAGATTAGTTAAGTATATCATCATATACTGCAGCAGATTTTCAGTTGTTTCTCTCAAAATATAAGATAATTAATTCATAAATGGTGAGATATTATTTTTCTGCATTCAACACAATAGATACTAAATCATTGATTAAAATTATAGTCATAGATTTTGAAATTGAATTCTGTAACTATCTTTTTTTAATACACTGTGCTTTCTTTTTTAATTGAATTCTGTTTGGTTATGTATTTTAGTGATGCAATACTTCAAGTATAATTACTTTATTTGTTGTTACATAAAATGCAATACAACATAATAAAAACAAAAAATCATACTCAAGCTTATTTTTAAAATTATATTTAATCTTAGTTTAAAGCTTTATTTTTCTATTTTTATTATTTAGTAAATAACTTATTTAGAAGCTTTGATATACTAGCTATTTTTAAAGTGTTTTTTTTTTTTTTTATTTTAATTCACCTTCTCAAGGCCGAGAAGGCCACTACAGACGAGGAGGCTACTTATTTGTGGCTATAACCCTCTCTCAACTCTATAACTCCGAAACACGAACCTTGATGAACAAAGCCGCTGCGCGGAGAAACGAGTTGAGCGCGGTACTACCAGGGACATGGTGAGGATCGAACTCCGAATCACTTGTTTATGAAGCGAGCGCTCTACCACTACACCACTACCGCATTTTAAGTATTTAAAAATATTTATTTTAATTTATTCATATCTTTATTTTCTTATTTTTTTATAATTTTTTTTACTGTTATTTACTAAATAATAAAAATAGAAAAACATTTTTGCACAACATTTATATGTTTCTATTGTAGGATAGGATATGTGAGAAAATTATATCCTTAGTAAGATATAATTTTCTACCTTTAAAGGTAGAAAATTATACCTTTACAATAGAAACATATAACTTTTACATCAATTAAAATTATAAAAATGTACTTGAATTTTCTTGTTTCCAGTAAAGATACCAACATAATGTAAAGAGTGATATATAAACTATTAACTAATCCAGCTTTGTAAACTTGATATAAAATAGAGTTTCTTAACCTCTATTAGCTAACATTTCAAATAAATATACTCTGAATATGATACTAAGCATTTATACCCATAGACGTCCATATAGTTATACAGTTGATGAAATGTTTGTATCTGTAACATATTTTCATATAGCATATTTAAACCATTACAAACTCTTTCATGTAACTACATTTATTAACTGTTGATATCTTTATTTTATGCTATATTCATTATTTTTTATTCAGAATACAAAATGTATATGCAATCCAAATAAAGTTCTTCCAACTAAATAATCAAAACAAGCACAATTTCCTCCTGACATTTTAATATTTATCCCAGAATATATGCAATTTAACTATAGCGAAACATAATGTTTACAATTTGATGCACTCTAAAGTAGTCTGAGCATTAGTCATATAGTACATAACTTAAGCGTTATAAGAAAACAACCTAGTTTCCAGACTAGTTAAATACTATGACTATGATTAAACTAAAAACATTTTTTTCTTTCAACTCCACTTTTTTTAATGTAAATTCACCTCCCCAAGGCCAAGAAGGCCACTATAGACAAGGAGGTTACTTAATTGTGGCTATAACCCTCTCTTAACTTTATAATTCTGAAACATGAGCCTTGAAAAACAAGGCTGCTGCGCAGAGAAACAAGTTGAGCGTAGTATTAGCAAAGATATATCAGGATTGAACTTAGAACCTCTCACTTATGAAGCAAGCGCTCTATCACTACACCATTACCATAGTTAATTCGTAAGTTTTGCTGCAAATTTCAAAAAAATAAATAAATGATTTATAGATAAGTTTAAAATTACTAATTGTAGGGCTCGAGTTAAGCGTATCATAATTGCGAATCATAATTGCTTTTCACACATTCGCAGTTAGTTTTTTCTTAAAAAAATATTTTCGCAAATTGCTTTTTTTTTTTTAATTTTTATTTGCTTTTTTAACTTTTTTTAGCCATTCTTAAAAGTAATGTTTTATGTCTATGTATTTATGTATTTAAATAATATTTTTGTCTATGTATTGTTTATATAATCAATCTTTTACACAAAAAAAATATCAATGACATCATGTACCAAAACACTTAGGAATAAAACGCGCTTGAATAAATTATCAAGTCTGTAGATTGCATCATATATTATGCTGACTTTTTGCCCTACAACAAAACAAAAAAGGAAAAATTCTACTAAAGTTAGTTTTTCTCGGTATGCATTTATTTTTTTGTTTTAATCAAAAAAATTCAGCCCAAACATTTTTTTTTTTTTATCATTCTCTTTAATATGAACAAAACATGTCTTAGAGGGTTGGAATCCCTTTAAAGTAAATAATATATCAAAGTAATTAATATATTAAAACAGGTCTTGTTATGAGATTTTGTTGCGTAGCAGAAAAGGTTAATGTGAATAAATGTAACTTTACTCAATATAGATATTTACATCGTTAAAAGTTTAATTATGTCAGTTGCATATTTTAAAGTACCTCATTGTAATTAAATTTAAAACTACATTTAAAATTGTTGTAAGTCTTTATCTTTATGAAATATCTTTATATTAAACAATATTGTTATACAAAAAAAATCATTAATAAAATCTAAATGTTGTTTAAAAAATTTCGTTATTTAAAAATCTTATACTTATTAAAACTTTTTTTTTTCTTTAAAACATTCATTTTATGGTTATTTTTTTTTTAATGAGGGAACACTTGTTTATGGTTGAATTTCTTAAAGGGTTTAAATGTACATGCCACAGTTTTTTAAATGGTTTACACAACTATACAATTAGATTGGATTTTCCTTTTTATAAAAAAAATGTTCGCCCGATGCACTACCTAAAACATTTTAGTTCAACTGCCTTTTGAAAAAATAAAAATTGTAATTAATTGAAGATAACTGCTTTTTTCTGCTTTGCTTTTATTTTATTTTCATTAAACTATTTTGTTTTCATTTATTGTGAAACCTAATGTATTTTCACTATTTTTTAAAATCCAAAAAAAAAATTATAGTACTTTTAGTTTTAAGATGATATTAGCAGAACTTGTTTAAACAAATATCAGTATATATTTGAAAATTACATATCTTATATTTAAAGCACTAGTAGTAATTTTGTTTTTAAAATAAAATAAATATAAGTTGGACTTTTAAAGCGTTTACTTATCGATCATGTTATTTTTATTTGGTTATAAATGTTTGGTTTATTTTATCAATGTTCAAACCAATGTTTTATGGCTATTATTGTTTGCTCATATGTGCATTACCATACTCAATTATTGAAAATAATCACAATGTAAATAAAGAAATTTGTTTTACATAAAATATGTTACTATGGCCAATAACGCCAGATCGCAATCGGCTAATAACCCCACATTTTCATTTTCGATTATTGATGTGGAGGTTATGGATATATGTGTTGCAACTGCGCTTAAAAGCTGTAATTTACTGTAAACTATTGTAATTTAATGAGAGTGTTTAGAAAATGAAACAAAAAAAGCAAATGTTTAAATTGTTGTAAAAAAAACTTAATTTAAGTAACAACCGCACTACTTGCATTAAAGTAAAAACTCGAAACATGAATGAGGGGATAATTTTCCCTCCTGGAAGTATTTTTGGTATGATTCCAAAAGGATTTGTTAATAAAGAATTTTTTACCTTTTGTGTCATTTTAACCAGCACTGATTACCAGGAATAGCTTTATTGATTTTTGACAGACATCATCAAAAATCAATAAAGTCAACATCTTCATTTGGATATTAAGGAAATTGAGGTACTCTTTTCAAGTTCACTTGCCTAAAGTAATTTGAAAAGTAACAACTAGAAGGTCTTTAAACTCACAAACTGTTCTTGTTGATGGCACTCAGGGAAAACCAAGGAAAAGTTTTAAAAATTTAGAAAATCAGGAAATACCTGGAAAACTTGGGGAATATTTTTTGAAAATCTTTAAAATCAAGGAAAACTCAGGGAGTATTTTTTTAGTTTTATAAATAGCTGGAAGTTATTTTGCAATATATAAATTTTAAGTCTATTATTATTGAAAGTTGCTCAGTACAGTGGTTTTATAACTATTATAATATATAGCAACTATATATTATAAATCTTATAACTGTTCTTGTTCTTTAGTTGATGATGAAATGACTAAAACGCTAGGGCAAAAGTTACACAAAAATGATAACAAAAAATAAACCTAAAAAAATATCAAAAAAAAAGAAGAGTAAAAAAAGTAGTGACATTTTGTTAAACTTTAAAAGAATATAATTATTTTATTCAAAAGTTAAATAAATATTATGACTTAATAAATGATAATTTATTTTGATTCATATCATTAACTTAATCTACATTATGAATAAAAAAAACATAAAGAAATTTGTGGATAGCATTATAGGACGCATATGAGGATTATTCCACCATTAGTACCTTTTTTCAAAAAATGATAAAATGACTCCTTAAAATTATTTTACTTGAGAGCAACAAACTTATTGTAATAATAAAACAGCTTTTATATGATTTTTATTTTCAGAGATAAACAATATTAATTAAAAAAAGAATTTTTTAAAATTTTTGTATAGTAACCACTATGATATAAAAAGGTTCTTAGACTACATATACTATGTATATATATATATATATATATATATATATATATATATATATATATATATATATATCCTCAGAATTAGGAAATAAGGTGTCAGCAATATATTGCCAACTATAATTTGTTAGAGGTTGGCATCAGGTCGGAAAAAAAAATTGTTACAAAGGTTTCACCATAAAACATAAAAATAAGGTCTTAAACAATTTTAGGTTGGCAATTACAGGCTTGGTAGGGAAGTGGGTGCGATCGCACTCTATAACTGACCACGGAAATAATATTTAGTTGCGAAAAACCGGCCAGATTTTTTAGTCGTTTTGAGAACATTCAAGTTCATGTATGTTTCCTTGTTTGTCCGCAAAACAATTATTAAATTATCATAAAACTTAGAATATTTTGTATTACGGACTTACACAGAAACATACATAAACTCAAATGTTCTCAAACTTTGTGCGGAAAAATAAAAAAAAATAATATTCGCGAATACAAAAAACCCGCCAAATCTACTAACAACTAATTCTATTGGTTCAAAAAATACTAGTGGAAATTTCTAGAGTATTCAAAAAATACTAGCCGAATGTTCTAAAGAGTTCTGTTAAATTATTTTAAAAAGTTGTATTATTTGAGTTTTGTTATGTTTTTGTCGAGATTTCTAGCATAAATTGTTTTAACAATATACTATCAAACAAACTTGTATTTTAATACTATGTCATTCTCGAAGCCACATCTACAAAGCTATAAATGTTTTAAACTAACATTAATTGTTTGCAAAAATAAATGTTTTAAATTTATGTTTTTAAGTTCTTAGAAAGAAAAGTTTTTAAGTTCTTAGAAATTGGTTAACTAACTTCAATTATTTTTGCTTCAGCCATTCTTACAAACTCGTTATACTTAACTCTTTTCTGTTTTAAATACTAATTAAAATTATAAAGTCCACTCACTAAACATTATCAGAGAAATTGTGAAGCTGTTCCGCTTCCTCCTCACTAAGTAATTTAAAGTTTTTACTTAATTTCTATCTAGTTAATTGAATTTATACAGTAACTCAATGATTTAATTATTTCATTTGTTCATCTTACTAAAAAGAATAGTTTCAAATGTGTTAAACTTTTCAAACTAAGCGAAGCATAAAATAGTTATTAAAAAAACCTTTTTACTTATAAATAAATCATCTTGCATTAGTTTTACTGGTTGAATCTTGTTGGACTTTTCAGGGCCGCGGGCTGCATTATTTTAGTGGCATTTATTATGTGCCACAGCGTAAAAATGACTAAAAAAAATACCGAATGGTTTTTTTGACTATTTCGCGGCCTTTAACCTTGTGAGTCCCAGGACTATAGCCCTTCTACCCCATCCCCCTCTTCCCCACCTCTTCAATCCAGCACTGGAAATAAGACATAAAAATTATATACTTGTTGATAAATTAAAGAACATTTGTTTCCTTATTAAAAAATCATTAATAGTAAGTTGTTGCTTTATATAAAAAATGTTGCCTAATTTTATTTAAAAAATATAAAAGAACGACGTTTCAAAAATATTTGCTCTAATCGTATTTTTTTGTTTAAAACTTTTTTGCGTTAAAAGCTGTTTTCTTTTTTTAACTGTCTCTCAACGGTCCAGTTAATCTTGTTGCGCTTTTTTGTTTGTTTTTGAAATGTTCTCAAAACAACTAAAAAATCTGACGGGTTTTACACAACTAAATATTATTTCAGTAGTCAATTATTAATTGTGAATGCACCCGCTTCCCGACCACGCCTGCAATTAGGATGGCATTGCCAAATATATATATATATATATATATATATATATATATATATATATATATATATATATATATATATATATATATATATATATATATATATATATATATATATATATATATATATATATATATGTATATATATATATATATATATATATATATATATGTATATATATATATATATATATATTTATATATATATATATATATATGTATATATATATATATATATATATATATATATATATATATATATATATATATCAGTTTTCAGAATACTACAAATTATTGCTGACCCAAATTATTTAGAGGTCGACATCAGATTGGCAAAAAAAATTTGATACAAAGCTTTTACCATAAAACATAGAAACGAGGTCGGCAATTTTTTGCTGACCTCAAAGACTTCTAGGTTGGTAGTTAGGTCGGCATTGTCGAAAGCCGATCCTAATTCCGAGGGCTGATAAAAATTACATAAGTATTTTTACTAATACATATACATACATATATATATCAATGTGGGCGATTCCACGGCAGAAAATGAAAAAGTAGTCAAATATTATTCTCTTTTTCATCAATTTTTAGCAAATGAATATTGATGTAGACACATGAAAGTTTATTTAAAATATATCTTTATTACTAAAATTAATTTATTTAAGTCATTTTTATGCCTCCGAAAGTTAGAGTTTTTCTCATTGTTGCATGATAAAAAAAAAAGATATCATTGTAAAATGTTATTTAAAAATAAAAAATAGAGCTAACATCTTCAAATTGTTGTTGGTAAGATTTAATACTTTATAAAATATATATATTTTAAGAAAATAACGATAGAACTTTTGCAATTTTCATGTAATGTAAGTTAACAAAAACATGATAAAGTTTTGTTTTTTCTAAAAATTAGTTAAACTTTAGTTTTTTAATAATATATGCAAAAGAATATTAAATGTTACGTTTTTACATTTAAAGTTTTGCGTAACAATGCTCAGTTAAAGCACAGTTTTATTTTATATTTGTGTAACAAAAGTTAAAACTACATGCTAAACATACTAAAGTTTTACTAAAGATTTACTAAAGTTCTGGCGCCTTTTCGTTAAGTCTTTGTTTACAAAATGAATTACATTATTAAGTAATTCTTATTTTGTCTGAAACTTTTTATATTAGGAGAATTTAGAAGAAAAAAAAAATTAATTTTTTTTCAATCTAAATTAAATTTATTTATTTTATTTCTTTTTTATTTGTTTACGTATTTTAGCTGACATAAATAAATAAAAATAAGAACTATATAAACATTTGTATTTAGACATTAAAGAAAAAAAAAAGGTTTATTTGCTTTTCTCCTAATATAAAAAAAATCAGTTTGAATCTTTTTGATTTTTGATTTAGTAAAACAAATCCTTTGTAAATACAATTATGGGTAATCCATAAAGCACATCACCCTACATTTGTCAATTCTTAACCTCTTCCCTCCTGTAACAAACGATCATATATAAATGAACTCCTCTACCTCCTAAACTATGATAGCAGTTTTTTGGTCAAAATTATTTTAAAAGATTTAAATGCAAATATTTGCAGCATTTTAACCATATTCAACCTACTGAAAGTAAGGCAATACGCCTTATTTTCAGTAGGTTAAACGTAAGTAGTCTTATTAATGAACTTTGACAATTCAAAGATTTTTTTATTTAAATGACTCAAATAAGTATTAACAAAGTTGTAATACTAAAATAATTTTTTAAAGTTGCTCTTGGTCTTGAGTAAAAACTGTTTTTGATTTGATAAGTTTCATAAATGTTATTGAAAAATCAGGAAGAGTGGCACCAGTATTTTAAAATTTCCTTTGTTAATTATTCTTAATGAATGAGTTTTGCAATTCTTTTGTTATGTAACTCTAACTCTTAATAATAGATATAAAAAACCCACATTAAATATTGCTCGGTAACGAAAGTAATGTAACATGAGTTAAATTTATAATATCAAAAAAATAAGTTTATTTTCTTTAGCCAGTCACCTCTGATAAGGTTTTATATATTTTTTAAATTGGCTCAGAATTCTTAACATCTTGTGAAAGTTTCTAATACAAACCACTTTACTGATTGGCAGAAATCTGACCTAAAAGTTGAAGCAATTTTTTTATATTGTTTTCCGTTTAACATAAGTTAAGTGGGATTTTCAGTTTGTCCTCTTTTGGCCAGACTAAAAATCTTTAGCCTATATTATTCTTAAAGCTAACAGCTTCCATACAAAACAGCTGAAAGTTTAATTTACAGTTTAAATAGACAAATATTTGATAAAGTTGTTGCGCATGTAACGTAATTTAAAAATAAAAATGCCCATATATATACACATGTATTTATATATATATATATATATATATATATATATATATATATATATATATATATATATATATATATATATATATATATATATATATATATATATATATATATTATATATGTATATATATATATATGTATATATATATATATATATATATATATATATATATATATATATATATATATATATATATATATATATATATATATATATATATATATATATATATATATATATATATATATATATATATATATATATATATATATATATATATATATATATAAAGAAACCAATTAAAAAAACAAATCACAATATAAATACAAAATCACTAACAGCAGAAATACTAAAACTCATTCAAACTCACTTGCTCATTGCAGAAATACTAAAACTCAATAAAACTCACTCACTCATTGCAGAAATACTATAACTAATTCAAACTCACTCACTTGTACATTTGTACTTGTACAACAACATTAATTAGTTGCGTAGTTTATCAGACAAATAAAAAAAGATACAGTTTATAAAATACTTAGAGAAGAAGTAAAAGATGTAAAATATCAGATTTTATGTTATGAATAAAAAAAAATTACCAATACAGGTGCCTTCTTTTATTTTCTTTAAAAAATCATTATTAACCAGCTCATTAAAGTTTTCAGCCAAAAATGCTTTATCATTTGAACCCACAATATTATTCAACTCCGTTTTGTTTACATAAGATCCAATACCTATAGCAAAAATTATAATCCCCCTGTCTCGTAAACGTTTTGCTATATCTACAGGATTTTTATCACCACTCTGTTCACCATCTGTCAACAAAAATAAAATTTGAGGTGTATTCTTTCTTGCTCCATTTAATTCATCAAACATTTCTAAGGATTTTTCTAAAGCCAAGTCAATTCTTGTACCACCATTTAAATATGAAATATCTTTAACAGCATTATTAAACTGAGCTTGATTAAAGTAATCATTTAGCTTAATACTTAAGAATGCATCGTAACTAAATGTTACAACACCTGCATGTGCACCATATTTGCTAATATTAAATGTACTTGCAAGATTTATAAGGAATTCTACTTCTTGTTGATAATGATTTTCTAAACTTCCAGATGAGTCAATTATAAAGCCTACATCTACTATTACAGCACAGTCTGATTCTAAACAAAATTCAAACAATAAACTGTATTTCAAAATTAAGTATTAATAATAATAGTTACTATAGTAACAAATATAGAAAAAGCTTTGGTATAGTTTTCAACACTTCATACATTTTTTTGATTTAGATGTTATAAAAAGGAAAAACAATACAAAGATATTTGTAACATTGCATTAATGTTTTTTTGTTGTTTTTTTTATTAAACATTATCGAAATAATTATAAATCCCACCATACCCACAAGTGGAAATTTTTTCTTAATTTAAAAGATTTGCTAGAAAAAAAATTTTATTAGGTAAAAAAAAGTTACATTCGATCATCAAACAGCTGATAGAAAGATAGGTGTATCAACCAGCCTAACAGTTGTTTAGCAAGTTGTAACTAAAAACTAGTTGTTACCCAAAAACTTGGATCTTGGTTAGTAGACCAAGTAGTTATTAGCAGTTTTTAGTAGACCATTAGTAGACCTTATATCCAAGCTCTCAAAATGATGATAACTGACAATTTTCAGCCTTTGTTGGAACCACCCAATAGAAAGATTTATTCAAAAGTAAATATAAATGCCTCACAAAATAAAAATATTTTTTTTCCAATATATTTACTTTATATTTGGTTTAAAGCAATGCCATTTGCCATGTACAGAGAAGCTGATATCTAGGGTAAGCCATTAAGTTATTTCCATGGTGATATTACCACTCCACATCAACCTGCTATTTTTAGAGCTAGTAAAAGGTTGCAACTCTGGTTAAATTTAAGGCAGCTTTTTCTATTTAACCATCTGGGAGGGACCAAATGTACCAACATTTGTCTCAAAACATTATAACGTAGAGAAATTTCCAAAAATCTAGTAGCTATGATAAATAAAACATTATTAGAGTATAATGGTGCCCATAAAACATTCATTATTATTTGTGACACCAGCTCTGTCAATGCAGGTTAGTAAAATTTATCTCATTTATTTTTAAATACAAATAATTTATTAAATAATTTAAGTAGATCTTAAAGAAAAAGATTAAAGTTAAGTTATTGTCAGGTCAGGTTTATCCTGCTACTGGTAACATGTAACCCAGTACAATCTGCTTCATGTCCTGCTGCCTTGTAGGATATGCCTTTTTAGGCAAAGGCTAGGAGATGCAAACTCTGACATAAAACACCCCCTGCCTTGGGGCTCTTGGTTGAGTAAAGGCTAGAGATGGTGTCTCGATAAAAATACTCATCTTGGGCAGATGTTACATGCATCCAGCTGCTGTCTTGTAGAAGGCCTCCTAGGCAAAGACTTAAGGGGTAAACATTATAAGGTATCCTTATAATAATATTATTATCTTTAATTCCCTTAATTCTAATTTATATTCTAATAACTCTAATAAAATTCTTTACACGCTTCATTATCTATGAGAATAATTCAAAGAGTTATTTCCCTTTAATTTAATTTCCTTAAAAATTTATTTCAATTTTCTTTGTGAACTGATGATATAACCTAATTAATAAAATTATTCGAAAATTACTTTTAAAACTAATATAAATCTTCATTTAACCATAACAACCATTAAAAACTTGAAAAAAAATTTTTGAATCAAATCATTTACCTGATTTCCCATTTATGATAGTGAGATCTTTTATTGAGCCATCTTGAGCAGGATGCCATGGATCAGAAGCATAAATCATAACATTATCAAAAGATGTTGCCTGCATGTTTTCTTCAAAAAAAACTACTTTTCCATTTAATTTTATTGTGTAGACATAAGCATTATTTACTAACTGTTGATTTATTTCAACATGTGACCATTCTTTAACAGTAACAGGCGCTGTCTTAAAGACTCGATCAAGATTGCCATTTATTGGAGCAGAAATTTGAAGACTACCATCACCACTGCTGTGGAACCAAACTCCTGGAACTCTATCACCATAACTTTTCTTATCAGAATCAACAGTAAAATGAATAACATTGGGAAAATCAGCAGTAAATAAATTTGGTTTCACATCGAAATATATTTTATAAATACTGTCCATCTTTGGAATAAATGCAAGCAGATTTCTTTGAACTAAAGCAGTTTCTCGGTCTTCTATTATTTGCTCTAACAAAAAATGTAACTCAAGATAAAACTGGTTTTATAAGAATCATAGTTTATTATAGCATATTACAATACTTAGTAGCATATTACAATACTTAGTAGCATATTACAATACTTAGTAGCATATTACAATACTTAGTAGCATATTACAATACTTAGTAGCATATTACAATACTTAGTACCATATTACAATACTTAGTAGCATATTACAATACTTAGTAGCATACTACAAGAAGTAAAACCAAAATTATAATAAGTATGGATTTGTTTTGAATTTTCATATAACAAAATTGTTATAACAAATGAAATAAAATAAAATAAATTGTAAGTAAATAAAATAAACAAACATAAAAAGCAAAAAAGATAGTAAAAAGTAGTAAAAATATATATATATATATATACATTAAAATAAGTACAAAAAGAAAAACTTTTAACGTTAAAATGATTATTTTAAATAACTAATTTTACATAACAATTTGATCTCTAAACACCAACATGGTTTTATCAAAAAAAAATCTTGCACAATAAATCTACTTAAAAATTTATATAACAAAAGAAATCTTGAATTATGATTTTATGATTTTGGATTTTGGTAAGGGCTTTGACGTAGTATCACATAAGAAATTAGTTTACAAAATTGAAAATGGTTTTCTAACCAGACTTTGAAATGGTTTTCTAACTTGAATGAACTTGCTATTTTTTATCTAATAGAAAGCAAAGAGTAGTCCTATTGGGTAACTGGTAATACTGGAGTACCCCAAAGTACTGGACCCAAGTAAAACCAAGTTATTTGATAAAACCAAATTATAATAAAATATTGAAAAAATTACTGAGTGGACATCAAAATAGTAAATAGGTGTTAACATAAATAATAGGTGCTAAATGCATAATTATACATTTTAGTCGCAGGAATCTACACACAAAATATTTTTAAATATAAACAATATACCTTATGAGTTAAGTAAAACTTAATATGAACATGATCTAGATCAATTTTGTTTATAGTAATTGCCAACTTTGGCATCCAAATTTCAAATTATTTACAACAAAAAACCAAGTTTGTAAATCCTACTCTAAAGCAAACCAAATGTTTAGTTTGCAAAAACATACATTTTAACATTGAGGTTGTATTCTTTGATAACACTTATTTACATAAATAAAGAATTT